TTACATAATGTTATATGTTAGTTATATCTTAATAAAGCTGTGGAAGGAAAAACAGGGGAAAAATCCTGTCAAATCCACCTGGGCTGTGACAAAGTTCCTGGTAAACTATTGGTCAGAACGTGTAATACATTTTTGCCTAGAAGCAGAACTCATGGTAGATAGGGAACCAGGGAGGGTCACAATGACCTTTTGACTTGTGAGATGTTTGACTGTGATAGTCAATACCAAGTCCCTTCATCTAATAACCTGGCCCTGCAGGACCCAATGGTCCCATATGACATTGCTCCTCTGCCTCAGGAGACATATCTGGGTCCATCAACATATCTGATGCTTTTGTTACACAAAAATGTTACTGCATTACTTTCTGTTTCTCAGGCATCAGGTAAATGCTTAGCTATAAAGACAGAGAGGATAGAAGTGCTTGACCTTGAGAAGCTTGTGACCCGGGGAACAGCTCGGGGAGGACCTGTCAACAAACATGGCGGCAGTAGACCTAGTAACAGAAGTATACATAACATGAAGGCTCTGTATGGGGGGTCCAGGAAGGTTTCAGAGAGAATATGAAGTGTAAGCCTTCTGTTCTGGAAGTGTGAGTGTGCTCAGACAGAGAAGCAGAAAAAAAGGCATTTCCAGCAAAGAGAACTGTGAAGGCAGAGAGGCGTGAAGAGGCCTGGCAGTCTGAGACAAGCAAACAGCTTGAGAGTCGAGGCTGCAAACGGATGGTGACCTGCAGACAGATTTTGGTGGGGCCACAGAGCGGTTTGTAAATTTGAGCCACATTTAGAAATAGAGATATTTTATGAAAAAGTCCAGATTCCCTGCTCCTCTTGAAGAAATGGGGAATCTGGCCGGTGTGCTGGATATCCACGAGGAGCTGGAGGAGAGGAGTGGCTCCCCCTTCTGAAGAGGTCTGGGCCCTTTAGTTCTTCGCAAGATCCGCCTCCCTCTCCAGACTCCTAGACTAGGGCATTCACGCTTCTACCAAGCAGTCCCACTAATTCTGATCACCAGCTTCACTCCTGGAAGCATTTGAATTTTTTGCCTCTTGTTAAACATGCTTGGAAATTAAAGGACAAGGAGGGGGAAAGATTGCAGAGGTGAACTAGCTGTGGGAAGCCATCACTAGCCTTTGGGCTGAAGGGGTGAGGGGAGGAAGTGGTGTAGATGAAGTGTGGTGAGGGCCCAGTCCTAGGTTGTTAATTACTGTGGAGCAGGGAGGGAGTAGGGATGAAACATGTCAGCTCTCCCCCAGGGCCATACCAGAAGCCATAGGGTTGAGAGGGCCCTGGGCAGGCTGTCTACAGGGGCACAGGGTATATAGTGGCTCTGGGAGGGCAAATCACCAGCACACCTTGGCACTTGGGGATAGAGCCAGGAGAGGCCCTCTCCTGAGAGTCATGTAGACTGTGGTCACTTGTGTGGAGACCCCCCCTAAGGATGGTTAAGCTACAGGCTCGAATGCCAGCAGGTGGGAGGGAAGGGGTTGAGCAGGCCTGAGATGTCCCCCGCCCCCCACTACCGCCCCGCATCACCAGGAAGTCCTGGGTGGCTGCAGGACCCATAGCAGGGCAAGGGGAGGACAGAGGCTCAAGTCTGGGCTAATAAACTATTCCAGAAGAGGGCTGTGGAAGGCGGAGGCTTGGAGTGCTGGTAGTCCATGGACTCTTGGGCAGGAGGTGGTAATTTGAGTGCTGGAGGTGGACTGCACCCCAGAGACTTTTCTAGCACAGGCTCTGGTCCAGCAGGGGACCCCCTGTGTCTTGGCAGTCACCCAGCCTCTGCTAGCCCTCTTTGGTGTCAGGCAGAGCTCCCAGGAGGAGGCTCTGGTGATGAAAAAGATTCTGTTGAGCAGATATCAACTTTTTGCTGCTGTGAGGCCACACTGAGCAACTTTCTAATGTCCAAGGGCAGTTTCCTCACTCCTCTGGGTCCTTAACCACTTCTAAAAGTTGCAAACCGGGACCCTGACCCTCTGATTGCGGCCCCATTTGCCACTGGCTCTCTGGAAATATTCCTCATGACACATCCCCTCCTCATGCCTTCTTTTACCTTGAATTGAAGGTCAGTGGAGGATCAGGATAATACACTCGTGGCATTTAGGGTCACGCTAGATTTTTTTGATTACAAGAGTCAGGCTGAGCAAGTGGAAATTTGTAAACTTCATCTCAACAGCTCCCTGAGGCGAAATAGGCAGGAGCCAGATAGGCAGCGTGGGCTCAGTAATGCGCCAGGGTAGCCCGGCCAGCCAGAAGCAGGCCTGCAACCAACCCAGGTCTCTGCCTCCAGCCTCTCTCCACCATGGGGGTCCAAAACCCATGTGCTCTGCTTCACTGGGGTTCAGGGTCTCCATTTATGAAGGCAGGAGAGTCATTGGGCTTCCTCTGTTCTGACAGGACAGGGTTTAAAGGATGCCAGCCCCTCCCAGCATATCCCTTGGGGGATGTCACATTTCCAGACCAGTGGAATCCCTTTCTGGAACATGTGGGGCAGCCCAGCCTCAGGTAGTGGAGCAGTTCCTTTGTCTCACTCTCAGCTCTACTCCCCTGACTTCCTTGGAGGGGCTCCTGGGCAGGACCTGGACTTGCCCTTGGAGGACTTGATGGCACAGGGCAACCTCTTGTCGCAGGGGACCTGTGCTGCTACATACCAGGGCCTGAAGCTTCCTCTGGACGAAATGTCCTGGGGACTCTTTGCTTTTTCTTTCTCTCTCTCCTGTTTCCCTTTCAGCGTAAATGTCATGTTTTTATTTCCAGTTGCAAAATTTGGCTCCTGAAAAGCCATTGCCCACGTGTTCATGATCTCAAGCTAGTCACGTGGAATTCCTTATAGGCTCCTATTCCCATAGGAGGTGTCTCACTTCTCTGCCATAGGTGATACCACCTAAAAGGAGGTGCAAGCCTCCCTGCTTCCCCAGGGGTACCATCGGCTGGATGGAAGGGGTACTTAACCATGGACTAGGGGGATTGCCCTGGGTGGGTACCAGGCACCCTCAGCTCCAGACACCAAACTTCTCCTGTGCCATCTGCTCCCATCTAGGGTGTGGTGTATTTAGAGAGCAGTAGAGATTGGGTTAGAATCTCCAGAAGAGATTTTAAACAGATGTCCAAGCTCCACCCCCCTCCAGATTCTACAACTTAATCGATCTGGGTAGGAGACACTAGCCTAGTGGAAAAGATATTGCTAGACCCAGGTTGTGTAACCATGAACACATCACTCTATTTTTGAAGATGAAAGGCCGTGACAGAAACTTTAGTGGCTCCCAGAGGTTGCAAATCCTGCAGAAAGCAAATGGGGAGGAGGGAGTTTCAGAAGACAGAAGAAGGGATGCGGGCGCTAGAATTCCTGGGGGCTGCTGTGCAAAGAGCTCTGAGTCGGACAGGAGGCAAGGCTAGGTCACACCCCCCCCCCCCCCGCCCAAAACTGGGCTAGGCAGGAGGCAGGGCACGCAGGGGTCTGAATTTGGGCCAACAGCATCCAAAAAGACTAGGCCTGAACAGTCCAGATCATGGATTCAAGTTGTCAACTGCAGGACACCTTGATTAATGAGGAAAGGTTGGTTTGGCTTGACTCAAAGTTCATAGGTGCTTTTTCCTGGGAGGGGTCATGCCCGCAGCACCCTAGAGAGCCCAGTGCACCTGCCTAGAACCAGAGGCAGCCACCAGGCTCCGGCAGAGGCAGTCTCGGCTGGAAGGGCTTGGAAATCAGGGAGGAGGAGGATGGGGACAAGAACAAAATCCCAAGGGCTAGAAAGAGGGCCTGGAGAGGTCCCTGAAGACAGAAGAGGTACGCCAAGAGAGGTACGCCAAGTACAGGTAGCAGGACTCTCCCTCTCTCTCCTCAGAGGTGGGTGAAGGCTCTATGGAGGGACAGCTCCCAGGTCAGTGCACTGGGGACAAGGAGGTGCCCAGTTCATCTCATAAATCAGGCATATCCCAAGCCCTCCGAGGCCTGGACCACAGGCTCTACAGGCTCACCTTTGCCACCAAAGCTGAGCATCCCTTGGGATCAAGATCTCATGCTGTTCTATAACAATTTCACTCTCTGCTGCTTCTCCATGAGCTCCTCATGTGTTGCATACATGAGGTCCACACACGGGTTGGAAATGCAGGGGCTTAAACATGGGATTTCACATGCAAGTGAGGCTTGTACCAACTGGGTTGACAGTTTTACAACAGTTTCTGTTCCTTACAGGTAGATACTGGGCAGCGGGGAACGGGATGGGGGAGTGGGGGAGTGGTGGGGGTGTGGACAGGCCTGTGTTTTCCTTCGACTAGAAGATCCAAATAAATGCTGGCCTTAATGCAAGCCCCTACGTTCTGATGGCTATAACTTTGAACACCAAAAGGGTAAACTGCATTAAGTTTCACTTCCTCTGCAAGGCCTCTATAAAGCTTTTCCTAAAAACTGTAGCCCCACACTAACTTGACCTTTGCTGAGTCCTATAGTACAGCGGTTCTCAGACTTGAGCATGTATCAGAATCACCTAGAATGTGGAGGTGGGGTGGGGCAACTCTGGAGTCTCTGAAAATCTGCATTCCTAAGAAACCCAAGAAGGTCCCAGGTGATGCCGACACTGCTGGCCTGGGGACCACACTTGGAGAACCAGATCTATTAACACATGCTCTCTACCTCACAGTTTCAGGCTTTCTTTGTACTTTGCCTGGAATTTATCCAGAACCTTTTTTTTTTTTTTTGCATGTCAGTCTCAGCTAGATCTCAATTCCTTTGGAGCAGGGGTTGTGTATTTTATATTTTCTTCTGCATTATTTAGCATATTGGCAGACCCACGGTGGATGAAAGACATATATTGGGAACTTCAGAGGATTTGGTTTCTTCAAGCAGACAGGGATCAACTGTGGTTAATTTTAGGATTCCCACATTTTGCAAAAGAACATCTAAATTTTTCTCATCATTCACATTTGCAGAGAAAATTCTTAATTTGCTTTTCAGTAACATGCATGCCAGTCTCATGAAAGAAAAGCTCCAGTCTTGATTTTGGAAAAAAAAAAAAAAGAGTTCATTCCTTCATCCTTCCAAACAAGGTACATACAGTACAACTGGGCAACAATGCACATGACTGAAAAACACAACTACATTTTATATTGCTTACTACTCTTTAAATAAGTATAATTCAGATATTAAGGAAAAGAACTGCTAATCACATTAACTCATTACAGAAATCAAAATTAACTTATCACACAAAATAAATTAAAACATTAAATATTAACCTTTTCAGTGCAACATATACAGAAGTCAGAGTAACAAGTTTTAAAAATAAAAAAAAAAAGCATCAGGTTTGTTATAATAAAGATAATGAAAAGTTGAATACTTCAGTAAGTTACTATGCCAGGAAGAGGGGCTGTGTTTCAGTACTGTGTGTATGTTCACCACCAGTTCTTTCAGGAAGCCTGGTAAAATCAGTGGCTGGAGGGAACAGGTCTGATGTTCCAACATTAAGAACAAACATATGTGTTTCTCTTGTTTCTGCGATGTCTCCTTTGCTCCTGGGCTTTGGAATCCTCTACCTTCCTTGGCTGAGCGGGTTGGGAGAAATCAAAGCCCAGACCCTACTAAGAGATCAGGGTCTCCTGAATAGCGCTGGAACCTTGTTGATCCATTTCTGCCAAAATTGCCTGGACAAATGACTAGTGGCCCACATACACTGAGACCACCTGGCCCTGGAAAACCTGGGTGAAGACGGAGACACTCTTCTTCACCCGCAGAGCATAGTTTCCCAAGAAGCTCTAGAACCACATCTCCTCCTCCCTCACCAATGCATTGGTGAGGGGGTATCAATCGCACCTCCTTCTCCTTTCTTAGGGAAATAGACTTTGGGCCATTGTGCCCACCCCTTCTGCTGGAACACCATGGCAAGCTACCATCTTGCTTGATTCCATATGTGTCCAGATGCATCGTCCAGAGTAGCGTTGGCTGCGATATGTCTTTCCATCTAGAAGAAAATGTTTCTTGCCAGTATGCTCAAAGACGTCATGGTCTGTAGAGCAGTGGGAGAATCTAGGCTCCATAAAATATTTGGAAGCACCCGTCCTTCTAATGGGGGCTTTTCATTTCTCTTGAGATAGACATTGGAAGCAGCTCTGTTCCCCGCTCCCGGGTGTCCGGCTCCTTACCGGGAAAGGCCTCATGAACAACTCCTTAATCGTAATACTTGGCTTTCTAAAGGGCAAGGAGACACGGGGAAACTGTGACACTTTTTTAACCTGAAAAGGGGGCTAACCCAAAAGGTACCAACACCATGAAATGGCACAGGAATCCAATGCTTGTTGGCCATCTGATTTCTAAAAGAGAAATCACCAAAGAAGCAAGCCTCTCCTAACCTGGGCATGGGCGAAGGTCCATCAAGGCCTGCCTTCACCCCAGCCTCTGCTCCAATTCTTTTCAGACCTGCTGGTTTACAGAGGACTGACTCAGGAGCCACCTGCAGGGAGGCACACTCGTTCTCTGCACGGTTGCACCGACCCCAGGAAAAGTGTGCTGGCCTCTGTAATGTGAAGACCAGAGCCTTCACAGACACTAAACGTGGAGTCCCTGCAGAGAACCAAGAAGGTTCCCTCTGCTTACATCTTCCTCTTCCCACACCTCTGCAAAAGCTCTTGGATGCCTGAAGACTGGACAAAACGTTTCCTGCCAGTTCATATTCTTTAAAGGCAATCAGACCTCAAAGGGTCTCGAAAAGACTGAGGAAAGACTGTCCTAAGTAAAATGTGATCTCAACTAAAAAACAGACTACTCCACTGCCACTGGTCTTTCTAACCGGACTCTTAAGACTTTCGGGAGGGTCTGATGAGAGAGAGGAGTGATAACCGGGGTCTACAAACCAGGGTCAATGGGACTGGTCTCCGAGCAAGACACTACAATTAGGCCTCAGCCCACATACCGGCTGCTGCAGGATGGGCCCAAGAAATGCAAGCTTAATCCTGTTCTTTCATCTTAAGACCTGGGAGCTATGCCCAGGACGTCGTTAGCAGGCCAGCTACTGAGCTGATCCCGTTTCTGCTCCTATTGCTACATGTGCAGCATCATTCCAGAAAAGTGCCAAAGCTAAGACACGAGTCATACAATTGTCTCAATTGTAAGGAATAAAGAGAAAATGCATCAAAAAAGACAGATTGGGGGAGAAGAATTAGAGAGGGACAAAACTACCTGATAGAAATTTCAAGCCAAATTGACATATGTTAAAGGTCCCTTTCATGATGTGTGGAGCTAGATGCACAAAGTTAATTGCTAGAAATTTTTCATTTTTCAAATGTTAGTGAATAAAGAGCTTCCTCACGTAAAGACTTCACATATTATTTTGCTGTTACTCTGCTTCCAAATTTGAATGAAAATTCCTAGGGATGAGCTCTCTGTTGTTTAGTTGGGAAGGGAACCAGTGCTTTCCACAGGCAAGCGCAGGGGGTCGGAATGCACCCAGATGCCCATGAAAACAATTCCTCCTTCTCTCAAGGCAAAGCGAGGCCCACACTGGCGGAGGTGACTTGTTAAGAGTTTTTGTTAATAAAACCAGCATCCTGAATAGAAAAGGGAAAAATAAATCACTGGAACATTTTCCCTAATGCTAGAAAATAAATAGGAAAGGTAAATTTCTCCTTTTAAAAATAAAGCAACAAATCAACTGAGCAACAACATAGGAAAGAAATGCCCAGCCCCCCTTTCATGAATGTGGCCCCAAATGCCCGTGGCTCTCTGCGTCGTGCTCTTGTTTCTAAACATACTCTGGGAGGGCGCATTAGGAAGTTAACATGCTTAATCACGGAGTGGTGCGGCACTGTGTTTCCCTTGTGTAGAGGCACGCAGGCACTCTTCCTCTCTCCCCCACCGAAGCTGACGACAGATCTCTGCTGCCAGATTCGCTAACTTTTCTATTGGAATGTATCAGAGGGACTTTACCTGCTTTGTGTCTTAAATGACACGGCCTCTGAGGCTCAATTTTTGCTCTCATCAGCAGCTCATTGTCTGCTGCCATCTCTGCACTCCCCCTGGGTGGCTTTCCCCAAGCCTTAGCTGTCCCAAAGAGGCCAGACAGTTCTAATCCATCAGCTAACTTTTCAGCCAGCATTACACACATCGTTAATGCCGAAGTCTGAAAAGGTTTGATGCTTTTTACATTGACTTAAGAGATTAAAAATAAAATAAAATAAAACCATCATCCATCTAATAAATAGGAAATTATCTCCGAGGGTGCTGATGGCTTGGGAAGGTCCTCAGCGTCGTGAGTCTGTGGAAGACGTCAGGCCGGTTGAGGGCCTCGTGGACAGAGACCGAGGACAGGCACAACTCCTCTTACACTTGGCATCTTCATGTCACAAATAGTTACCCTTCCTCCACCTTCTTCTCCAATAAACGGATGAGAAAAAACTCAACTACAGCACTCTGCAGTTCTGGGGCAGGATGGACACTATTGTGGGGAGAGGAGTCCGTTAAAAATCAACACAGCCCAGCCTCCATGACCGGCAGAAGACAGCCACACGTACACCTGGGCTCAGATGCCGACAGTCGCACACACCTTAGCTAGGTAAAAAGGGAGTCCACTCCTTTGCAATTCTTTTTTGACCAGTCTTTAAACCGTGGTCCACTGATTTCTTATCTAGGTCACACCAAATAACCCCAAGCAGACAGAGTTCTTGACAGAGTTTCGTAGGAAGGCCCACAAAAGACGAAAAGGCTGTACAGGTGATTGTAGGCAGAGTAGGAAAGTCTGTCGGCTCGTCCTGAAGAAGTCCTTTTTTCCCCAGGCTGCCGCAGTCTACCTGGCCGAACTCCCTCTGGGCTCTTCAGACCACTGGAAGGAAGGAGACACAAGTTAAGTTCTGCATGCCAGCCCCAGCCATGCTAAGAAAACAAGCGTGGGACAGACATTTGGAGATGCATCAGCCAATGTCACCAGGTTCTCTGGAGCGGTCAGGCCCAGGTCCAAATTCCTCTGGTTCAACCTCAGGGGCAGCAGCTTCTGAAATTGTACTTTTGGTGCCAAAGAAAAGGTTGAAGAGATGGGGATGCACTGTGTTATGAGGGCTTTCGTTCAACTGGAGGACAGTTAGCCCAGCCCGTGCCGGTTCCCCCGTAAGGGGTGGCTTGGTGGGCAGCTCATGAGCTGGTTGAGGGCTCTGGTGGCAGAATGGCTTCTCCTCAGGCCATATGAGAATGGACCCATTTGTTTCTCAATGGGTGGGACTCTCAGGCATATCCTGTGGCTCCCAGGAGGCAGCATGGACTTAGCTCCCTACAGCTCGAGGATCCAGGTTGGCCCAGACATCTTCCTGCTCTGGTCCCTCCTGTGGATCCTCTGGAGGTTGAGAGGGATGCATTATCTCAGGGAGGGGGCTTCAGCCTCAGTGGCCATCTCTGGAAGGCCAAACCCATCTGAGGCTCAAAGCTAATGTCCTCCCAAGTGTGTGTAGAGAAGTAACATTAATAAGAACCTTCCTCTACCCTAAATGACTCTGCCGAAGTGCACACAAATGGTGCAGAATCGACTACAAATTTAATTTTTATTTTTTAATATAAGTTTTTAAATGTTTATTTATTTCTGAGACAGAGAGAGTGCGAGCAGGGGAGGGGCAGAGAGAGAGTGAGAGACAGAATTCAAAGCAGGCTGTAGGCTCCAGGCTGTCAGCACAGAGCCTGATGTGGAGCTCGAACCCATGAACCGTGTGATCATGACCTGAGCCGAAGTCAGACGGTCAACTGACTGAGCCACCCAGGCGCCCCTCTACTATAAAGTTTAAACAATTTCTCCATTGGTGCTAAACAACAAAATAAAAACTGCATTAGTTCAATGGATGATCCTCTGAGTCAGTGGAAGAGAGATATGAGTGGAGTCTTCAGAGGTCCTGGCTCTCATCCTAGCTCCCCCATGGACTTATGGTGGGATCCATGCAGACCTTCATTAGACTCAGTTTCCTCACATCACTAACAAATCTTCCTCCTCTGAAGGCCATTATGAGGACTGATGGATTAGCATCCTCAAGGGTTGCAGGCCTCTTAACGAGAAAGACCTGCTCATGCCTGCTCTTGGGCCTTCAGAACCTTCTGGCTCAAATCACCAAGAGGTTTAGTGAACACATTGGTGCTCCAGCTTGCCAGTCGTCCTTCTTCCTACTCTCTTCATGCACCCTTGAGCTTCTGGAATGCCAACTGTTTACTAGAGAAGGTCACTCTTGGTGGATTAGCCTGTGGTGACCGTCTCCTGTCTCACTACTTCCTGAAAAGGACCTTTAAATTTATAATGGGATCTATTGGTCAAAAGAACATTTCAGAAAAATTTGTTGACAAGGACTGCTGAGGTGAGGTTTGGTCCCACATCCGAACGCCCAATATTCATTGTGGAGGTCAGTGAAAATGTTCATAAAACATCAGACATCAAAGCTTAAAGAAGATCCCAGGATGTAAGAGCTAAAGAGTGCTGAGAGACCTGTAGGTCAAATCCTTCATTTCACTGAGGGGAAAGGGAAGGGGACTTTCTCAAGGGAAAGAGAACATTGGTTGTATGTCTACAACCTGTGATACACTGTACTAGGTACTTTATACAGGTACTCATTCAATTTGCACATCTTTTAAATAAGAAAACAGATACTCAGAGAGGTTAACTTGTCAAAGGTCACATAGACCAGTAAAGATAAAAGACCCTTTTTAAAAAAAATTTAAATGTTTATGTGTTTTTGAGAGAGACACAGAATGCCAGTGGGGGAAGGGCAGACAGAGACAGACACAGCATCCAAAGCAGGCTCTAGGCTCTGAGCTGTCAGCACAGAGCCCGACGTGGGGCTCAAATCCAAGAGCCCTGAGATCATGGTTTGAGCTGAAGTTGGAAGCTTAACCCACTGAACCCCCAAGCTGCCTCAAAAGAGCTTCCTTCTGAGTAAAACATACCTTAGGATAAACTCATCTTGACTTGGTAGGATAAATCTCCTCTCCCTTTTCTCCCTCTTCCTGCTTCACCCTCCAAGAACTTCTGTCCTGCCCTGGAGAAGGTGGTTGTTTTCTCCATCCAATTGTGTCTCCCAAGGGAAAAAGGCCCCTTCCCAATGCAGTCCCTTACCTGTTTCTGAGTGGCAGCAAGCCGTCCTTCCCTTCAGCAGGGCACTGGGCTTCTCGTGCCGGCAGATGAGGGCCTGGCACCACTCACAGTGCTTCCGGACCTGGCAGCAGCTGCAGACACAGAGAACACGGGCTGGGCGGGAGCCTGGTGGGAGCGCTCGACTGGTGCAGCGTCTGCCTAAAGGGCCTGCTGGGCAGCTCTGGGCTCCAAGCCGGCCATCCCGTGGAGGCCTCCGGAGGGACAGACACACACAGCGGGGGGCCGAGTGTCTTGCAGGATGGTGGCTTTTGGGGAAGAGCAGGCTAACATCAAGGGAACCGGTTGGCTACTTACTCCAAGGAACCGGCTCTGTTTGCACAGCTCTGCTCTGGGCTTGCAGGCCAACCTGCCCACCCACCCGTCTACTGTGTCCATAAAGCAGCAGTTGGGGGACTCCATAAATGTAGTCGTGGCCTCAGCACTGCTGTCAGGACTGGGACAAAGCAGCCACTTCAGGCTCGAAGGGCTGTGAGGGCTTGGGGGGCGGGGGGAGGAGCGGGAAATTCATCCATCAGTATTGCCAGCAGCATGGATGAACTGACCCGTGGAAAGAATGAAAGAACGAGCCACAAGTCTCTGTGGTTTTGAATCTCTCTGAAGACTAACATTCTCTAGTTGCGGCAAACCCAACCTCTTGGTGAACCTGTGTCACTCAGAGTCCTAAAGCATCAGGGTTATGACTGCTCTTGCCTCCTGCTATGGGCAGCAATGAACAGTTTGTAGAATTAGCATGAAAAAAGAGGCAGGGAACCCAAAAGAAGGGCAGAGAAGAAAGCACGGAGTAAGATACTTAGAGCTGTTTCCTGTGGGATACTGCCGAGGACTTTGTTTCTACTCATTCTGACCTTGACATGGGCATAATCCATGTATCCACCCACTGGGGCTGGGGAGGGGCTCCTGGTAGACACAGTCCTGGAGTCAAGTGAGAAAACAAGCCCCTGCTGCTGTGCTTCTCTCTTGGTGTCTGGTGGCATCTCATGACCTCCACCCTAGTCCCTGTCTCCTGGCGCTGTCCTGGGAAGGCTACCCGGGCCCCTGAATCTTTGGGCAGCAGAGCTGAGAAGGAGCCTGAGACCTTTGTGCCCAATGCACTCCTGTCATGGTGATCAGAGCAGTCCATCTCGGCATGGTGCCCTCGTGATTGCAGAGTCCAAGATCTAGAGGGATCTAAAGGACCTGATTCCAGATCCGTCAGAGAGTGTTCTTTTGCAGTCAGCCAGCAGTGGGCTCACTCCATCACTGCCCAGTAAGGAGCATCCAGGGCAGTGAGACCAAGGCCTCCAGGTCCCTGTGGCATGGGATAAGCTGGTCCCAACCAGCTCTGCAACTCAGGAGGGTCCCATGCTTAGGCAACCAGCAGCCTGGTTGGGGTGAGGGCTTGGTTTCTAGCTCAGGGATTCTTTTTTTTTAAATGTTTATTTTGAGAGAGAGAGAATCCCAAGCAGTCTCCACATTCCGCATGGGACCCGATGCAGGGTTCAGTCTCACAACCATCATGACCTGAGCTGAAATCAAGAGTCAGACACTTAACTGACTGAGCCACCCAGGCACCCTTGGCTCAGGGATTCTGACCTTGGTCTTTGGTAAGGACAGGCTGGGAAAAGAGAGAAGACAGATGGGACTGGCTGCCTCCCTGGGAATGAGAGAGGCTGACCAGGCATCCTAGATTGTCCCTATCTTCAGAGAATCTGGCAAAATTGCTTTTAAATCCTCTGAAGAAGCTCATGGGGGCACCAAGTCTCATTCCTAAGACTCTGGGGCCCTCCTGGCCATGGAAATAGGACTGTAGAAATGATGGGTGTGCACTCACAGCTAGACAGTCATGAGAATCGTCCTCGTAAGTGGCAGAGCCTGGGCTACGTCCCAGCCTCAACCAGCGCTCTTTGTCCACCCTCCCTTCCAAGGCAGGTGAGAGTGGAACAGATGAGGAAGGGAGGACCAGCTCCACTGAACCTCATCCCTCACACCTAATGCTGGCTTGGGCCAGGAGAAGGATGGGAAACTACGGCTCTGAGGGGTACTCCATTCACTGCCAGAACCCAAGGTATGTAGGTTGCTCCAACAGCAACAAACCAACCAACCAACAGGACAGAGACTCATAATTATCTGTTCAAATTCCAGACAATCTCAGAGGGCTGAAGTCTGGCGTCCTTCATCAACACACAGCTGCTTACTCCAGCCCTTGCCGGAATGGCCCATATTACCATAGTCTCTGGCATGAGTTAACCCACAGTAAGCTGACTGGTAGCCTTTAGCCATTCTGTGGATTCCTCATGTGTATCCAATTAGATATAAATTCTGAGGACTCGCTCTGTGAATTAGAGGTCTCTAGATGTTTGCAGGGAATAAATCTGGCCAGCTGTGGTGAATACAGCACACAGGTGTCTGCCTTTGAGGAGCAGTCCTGTCGAGAGATATGGGCAAGCAAATAGGCCCAAGAAAAGAGTGTCTACTGGCTCAGTAGGGTGTTCTGGAAGATGCAGGGCAGAAGCTGAGTTTTGAAAGTGGAGGAGGGGCAGAGCTGTCACTAGCCTGTCAAAATAGCAACCAAGACCTTTGATGTGGCTTTGGGATTTGCAAAGTGACTTTGGTGGACAGGAAGCACCTCTGGTACTTGCCAAGTGAGCCTGGGAGCCATTTTTAGTTCTCTCTGGGACACCTGAATGTCGCCATCACTACTCTGAAGGCTCTAAACCCAATAGAGGGGAGATAGCACTTGCCTTTGCTTCTACACTGACTTTCAGCAATGTGTAGACCCACTGCTTGGGGCCTTCCCAGGATGCGTGTCCTTCACACAGCTTGGCTGTTACCCAAGTTTCTCTTGGCTTTGCTGACACCAATCAGAAACCACAGCAATAAGCTAATCCGAGGCAGCCCTGTTAACCGGGCATGCCGCAGATGTCCTGGAGAGGGACCCGACCTTAGGGGCAGCAAATACTTACTGTATCAGCACACACGTGATGATGAGGACAGCCAGGGCCACGATGGAGACCACCACCAAGGCGGTGATGGCTTGCTTTTTCTGGCTGGCGGCCACCACAGCCAGGAGGTCGGCATGCTCACAGCGCGCACCAACGTACCCGGAATGGCAGCTGGGGAAGAAAGGAATGTCAGCACGCCCTTCTGACAGAAGGTCTTGTTCCCCTGTCTCCCCCAAGGAAGGCTGGGGCAGTGGGATCCAAAGCCCTAGGCAAAGCGCAGAGGGGCCCCTCCAGCCTCTGCTATTGGAGGCAAAGAGATCAGCAAATTCCCTCCTATTTCCCTGAACAGGCACCTCTTCCTTGGAGAATGAGGAGTAACTAATTCGCCTGCTCATCTGAGGAAGCATTCATCATTACTGTTACTATGTCAGATGGTGTGGACAGAGAAGGCAACAAACGTGTTCAGGACATGAAGTTCATTTTGGCAGTTCATAAAAATCCAGGTTATTTTTAAACTAAGTGTGTGTATTCAGAATTTGAGGGTGAGAGAAAGAACACACGCTAAACCAGAGGGAAACACAGGTCGTGGTTTGCTTTTTATCTTCCTCATCACATTTAATTAGCCTTGCAAGCATTTCCCAGGAGGCCTGGCACACAGGGGGCGTACCCAAGTAGAGGCTGTGCCACTCTCTGGTGAATACAGGACTTGAGAAACCACTAGTCTGCTTCTCATTTTTAAAAAATTTATTTCTGAGAGAGAGAGAAAGAGAGAGAGACAGCGTGAGCAGAAGAGGGTCAGAGAGAGAAGGAGATACAGAATCTGAAGCAGGGTCCAGGCTCTGAGCTGTCAGCACAGAGCCCGACTCAGACAGGCTTAGCATACTGAGCCACTCAGGTGCCCCTGCTTCTCATTTCTGACACCACTTGGCCTCATTCCACTGGAGGATCAGTAAGGGCACAAAAGAGATCATGCTCTTGAATGTGCACATGGCCTGTGAACGGCAATACTGACACAAGGGGATATTATTACTGGTATTGCTAATATCCAAGGGCTCTTTCACTGTAATGGCCTCCTCCTGAGTGCAGAAGGCTGATGCTACTCCTTCTGTATAGCTCTTGCTTATGCTAACCTCCCCACCCCCCAATCCTGGGGCAGCCACAAGTGGTTCTTGCAGGACGATCCTCAGGACAGGCTCTAGTCATAAGGAAGGGATGCTCATTTTCTGATGTAGGCATTTTTCCCCCTCTAAGCACAGGATTCTTCTCAACAGAAGATACTTTGCTTATGCACAGGCCCTGCTCTCCGGGTGATTTTGTTATTGTAAAGAAAATGTTTGATCATCATGGTCTTCTCAGGTGGGAAAGCTTCCTTCCCACAGGGGACTTCCCCAAGAGCAACCTTACACCAAACATCACATGCTGGATTTAAAGTTATGCTTTGCTTCCCCCCCCCACCCCCCCAGCCATGGCAAAGATAGCTATAAACTTGTCTTTTTATTTTTTTTTAAGAGTCTACCTTTTGATGACGTAGTCTCTCTCCTTCACTTTTAGATTAAAAGGCCTTTGAAGAACGAGGAGAAATAAAAGGGGATTAAGGGTCGTGGCTGCCTGTTATTGTGCCCAGGGCCAGCCCCAGGGGCATTACATTTGTGCCTCCCCTGCACCTAGGCTCCTGGGCCACCAGACCCCAGGTGCCAGAGGGATCCTTAGGGCCACAGGATAAACACCATATTTCTTTCTGGAGCATAGGTTTTGCTCAATGTTAACAAAAATGTAATCACTTTAATGTTAAAGGAACAGGTAGTATATGACTTTAAGATTTGTGACAAACAGGGGATGCTGCAAAAATTGCTGCTTAAGGCTTCACCCTGGAATACCAGAGCACACAAGCTGTCTCTAGCACCGCTTAATGGAAAAGTCTTTCGTGGGGGCTCTTTGTCCCATAGTCCACTTGTTATATACCTTACTTAAAGGGTTGTTTTTTTCCTTTTTCAGTTTGAATTCAGGCCCTTGCTTTTCTTTCTTTTCTTTTTTTAATGTTTATTTATTTATGAGAGAGAGAGAGAGAGACAGAGCGTGAGTGGGGGAGGGGCAGAGAGAGAAGGAGACCCAGAATCCAAAGCAGGCTCCAGGCTCCGAGCTGTCAGCACACAGCCCGACGCAGGGCTCGAACTCACGAACTGTGAGATCATAACCTGAGCCGAAGCCAGATGCTCAACCGACTGAGCCACCCAGGTACCTCTGGGCCTTGCTTTTCTGTTAAGGGTTACTGTACATTTGACCTACATTTTCCCATTTAATCCTTGCACAGAAAAGTCAGGTCATTTGCCCATGCCACACTGCTAGGCAAGAGAGAGAAATTCACACCCAGGTCCGCTTTGCCCAGAGTCTGGATCCTTGCTCACTCATCAGGCTGCTTCCTCCCACATACTCAACAGGGATTGGTATAAGAAAGCCACAGGTTAAGCTCTCCATCAAAACTGCCTTTTGGTTTAGCCTCCAATCCTGAAAAGGTAAAAGAGATTTGAGGTTTTTGGTTCAACAAGGGTGCAAGTAAGGGAGCTGAGGAGGGCCAACCAGGGCAGAGAGGGCCAGGGAGGGCTCTCTGCAAACCCGGGGACAGGAGAGCAGGCTCCAGGTGCAGGAGAGACAGAGTGGAAGAGGGGGTTCTCTAGCAAGACTTTCCTTAAAAAGGATCTGGATCACAGAACTCTGACTGTCCCAGACCTGGGGTGAGAGGGGAGACTGAGGGGCTGTGGGCCAGGGGCAGGTTTTTGTTTGGCTTTAATAAAATTATGTGAAGGTCAAGGTCAAGAAACAGCTCAACCTGTGGGTTGTGGAGAAAACAAAGGCAGTGGCCCCTTCCCACTGCGAAAAGCAGACAGTGGACTGGGCTGGACGCTGAGGGGCTAACAGGGAGGCTCAGCATATGTCAAAGCTGTCGGTGTCTGAAGAGATCCTTGTATGAGGTCCCTGTTCCAGTATACCCTTCAGTTTTCACCCTGCACCCAGATGGCTCCCTGTGGACTTCCTCTTTTTGGTATTTGACACCCCCTCTCTGCAGGGTCTGAATCTACTCCACTTTATCTCCCATAACCTAGGTTCCAGCTGACCCAAGATGCACCTCCCTCCCCACCCCCAGCCCAGTGTCAAAAAGACCAGTGCCCAGTGTATAGGCACATGGACACACCTGCCTGATCTATGCATGACCACCCACCGCTCTCCACTTGCCCATCTCAGCTCCTGCCACCTTCTCTGCCTGGAATGTTATTCCTCACTCTCTCCGTCACACTCTGTCTCAAAGATCACATCTCCAAAAAGAGAATTCCTTCACCCAGTCACCCATGCATCCATCTGCCTTATCTCTTTCCATGGAGCTAACTTTGCCTCTTCTGAACGCCCTCAGGGTCACATGACCTCTCTGACTGCCCTCACCAGCCTCACTTCAGGGCAGCCTCTATGCTCCTTTGGGCAAGACCCAGGTCTACAAAGACTGGTGAACTGCTGAAAAGGAGGGAGCTGGGGAGGTTGGGCCTTGGGGTCGACTGTTAAATTCCTAATCGGGACTTGCAGCCGAGCCAATGGGACGTCTCTACAGACAGGTGTTCATGCTGCTTCCTCCCAGGGCAGTGCACTGAGGATCTGTGTAACTATCTGTGAAAGGTCCAGGCTATTCCTACTCTGATCTGCAGGCCCTGGGAGAGAAGGATTCTAACACCTTCCCAACCACTTGGTTCTGCAAACCTTACAGATTAACACATCAGTGCTGGGGACTCCAGGAAAACCTATTTAAATAAATGAGCGGCAGCCAAGTGCTAATTACAACACACACCATTTATTGCAGGCACTGTGCCAAACTCCCATATGAATCCATCTCTCTTATTCCCAACAATCACAACTGCATGTGAGGTCAGGCTTGCTATTTACCTTCTTTGCAGATGAGGAAACAGGGGCTTCTGGGTTTAAAAACTAACGATCTCAACCACGAAGGCTGCCTTTCTAGGGTAATGCAGATTGGTTTGGGAGATACTCTGGGATAGTGATTTTGCGACAAGCTCACAAATGTTACTGCAAAAAGAAGGACAGGTTGCTCGCTCCCCTGTAAGATGCCTTGTTGTGGTGTGGCATGTTGCCAAGATGCCCCCAAACAGTGCTGTATGAACTCAGTAAGAAAGATAACCCTCTGGGCTGCGTCACCTTTGGCTAATTTTCCATATTCTTCCTTCCAGAGGAACATTTCTCATTTGTGTGCTGGGCCCTTCACAACCAGCCCTGCCTCAAAACCACCTCTGACAGGGGTCCTAGACCATTGGGAAAGTCTTCGTGTCAATAGGAATGCCCTGGTCACCTAGTGTCACAGCTGCAAACACTCACATCTTAGTCTCATTGAATTAGGGAGCTTAGTGTGCCTGTGAATGAAAACTCCAGTGAGGCACAGGAGGCACATGGGCTGCTGCCTAACAGATGAGACTCTAAAGCATGTCCTACGTGAGCTCTGAGAATAGTGGACTTTAGCCCCAAGCAGCCCAACTGCAGCTGGAAGGCAGAATAATCTGTGGTCCAGGTCCTTGGGCTTTACTCACGATCAAAATCTCTATGAAAATGGGTGTTGTGAAGGAAACGCCAAAGGTAATTCTGATGAAGCCGGAGTTGAGAGCCACCATGAACTAGTGACATCAACTTTGGGCACTGGAATTGCCTGGGGAACCTGAAAAAATCCTGATGTCCAGGCCACACCCTAGACCAACTGTATCAAAATCTCTGGGAGTGAGGCCCTAGTGTTGGTATTTTTAAAGCTTCCAGATGATTCTACCGGGCAGCTAAAGTTGAGAGCCACAATTTAGAATTTTTGGCTTTGGGATTGAGGGAGGTTCTTTTTCCTCCCCAGTCATTGGTAATAATAGGGATGCTTCCCAGTTGCTTTTTATAAGGTGGGGGAAAAGAAAAGGTTTGGTGACATACCTTTTTTTTTTTAAAACTTCCCCAGCTTCTACTGATACTAGACTTAATTATGCCGATTATTTTAGGTACAGTCACATAAGGAGGGGAAGAGTTATCTCACTTGGTTGCAAATGAATCATGCTTGACTCAGCTACGGTCCTCTGCTTTACCTCAGGTAGGTCCTGGTTCCTACCTGACTGCACAGTACAATCACCGGGAAAGATTTGGAA